GTGACAATTATAGCATTTCGTCTTACATGTCTTTCTACTTGCAACACTATTCTAGGGGACACTTACATGAGATTATTTTCCTTTGGCACATGGTTTGCATCACAAACGGGCTTATAAGTCTTTCCCTGTTTTTTTTGTGTTTGGAACTATTCCTCCATAGGTGGAAAATGTGGTATTATAGTTCGTTCGTTGGAGCTTAGTTTGTCGACATTCTACCTCAAGCTTCAAATGATGTGCAGTGGTCTTGAAGCGATCGTAAGACCTAGGCAAGGCTCTGATGATTGCTACAACATTTTGCTTATCTATCAGAGTATTGCCAGCATGGCCTAAATCACATATCATGGTTGATATTGTTCTAAGAAGTTCCAATCTTGAATTATTTGAGACTATCTAATGAATTACAAATTTTAATGACAACTTTAGCCTACTAGCTAAGGTATCCTCAAAGGCAGTTTTCAAACTAGTTCCATGATTTACAGTCAATGGCATAGTTCCAGGGAGAAGATGAAAGGTCTTTTTGATGCCATTATTAAATATTGGATCATCAGACACTGCTAGACAAATGGTAATGTTATTTGCAAGATTAATTCTTATAAAATTTCCAACTTGCTACAAAAGGACGCCATGTACATAAGACAACATGGTCAACACTGCTTTTCCTTTGGACCCATTTGGCAGCACATCATCAACAGGTTAATATCCTACTCATAATTATTAACAGTAAGATGTTGTTAGACCGGTCCAGCCGGCAAAAAGCAAAGGGCTGGCCCAAGTCTACAAGAGGCGGAGCAAGCAAGTCCGCCCCCTAGGGATTGCTGCGCAAGGCATTTGTGGACCCCACTAGGGAATCCATTAAGGAAGGAGAGGGCGGCTAGAGTTGGAGGAAAATTTTGACTTGTGTGTTTGAATTTATGCATTATAGGATTAGGGTTATCTGATAATTTGTTGATGTTTTGATGACTTTGGTTCTAGCGTCTTGGGCTCTAGCGGAGTCTAGGGATTGGGAGAGATAAATCCTCCTCTTGAATTGAGGATCAATTGTATCATGGTATTTTCCTTCCGTTCTATTTGATTTCTTGCAATAAAATTACTATTTTTCTTGTTTTCATTGAAGTTTGGAGGAAAATTCTTATTGTTTTTCCAAGATTGATAGGGTATATTTGAAATCTTTAACTGTTTTCTATCAAATTGGTATCATAGCAGATTTTGGGATTGTTTTTGGGCTATTTCTGTGAAAAACAGTTGCTATTTTTTGGCCGGAAGATGGGTTGTTTGCTGTTTATGGTGGCAAGATCCAGATTTTTGAGTCTCCAAAGATCTAGGTATTGATGGCGGCCAAGAAAGTAGATGCATTGTGGCCAAGAAAGTAGATGCGTTGGAAGAATGCCTTGAAGGGGAGATGAGCTAAATGAAAACAATGATGGAGGATTGAATATCAGCCATGGAAGGCCAAGTTTCAGATCTCCACGAAATGGTGCAAAAGATATTAGAAAATTAAAATAAAACGATGGCATCGGAGGTAAGAAGTTCGGTAGGGAGAAATTCGAATCTTGAAATTTGTAGAATATAAAACAATGTGGAGATCATTGAGGAGAGAGGTTGGAGGTATGGAGAGGTGGGAGGTATGGAGGGCATGACCCATGGGGTGCTGATTGGGAAAAAAAAGATAAGGATTATGATAGGAGGGGTGCTGATTATGAAGGGAGGAGAGGAGAAAGTGAAGAGGGGTATGGGTATGAGAGTAGAAGGGATGATCGAGACACTTGAGGAGGACTAAACAATTGGGAAAAGGAAAATTATGGAGGATTCAAAGGAAATGGAAGAAATTAGAAGGTACGGAAGTAAAAGATACCCCTTTTTAAGGGGAGATTGCACATTGGTGGATCTAAGGTGGAAAGGTATTTTGTCATCAACAGGCTAACGGAGGAGAAAATTTTGACAACAACATGCTTATGTTTAGAAGGGAAGGCATTGTCTTGGTACCAGTGGAGAAATATAAGGAGGCCCATACGGATTTGGAGGGAGTTCAAGGAATGCTTATTGGAATGTTTCTGAACCGACAAGGGATGGAATTTTTATGAGCAGTTTTTTGCAGTAGTGCAGGAATGCTTGGTGGCAGATTATCGCGAGAGATTTAAGTACCTGGCAAGTCGATTGGATCTACTATCGGAGACTGTTTTGGAGAAAAATTTCATGAAGGGACTCAAATCAGAGATCCGGACAGCAGTGAGGGTGACGAGGCCTCATGACTTGGGAAAGGCTATGGAATTGACACAACTAGTGGAGGATCAGAAGTACCAGGAGAGGGAAGCCAGAGGCAGCAGTCCAGGTGGCTCTTACAAGATGAGTACCACTCTTTTGGCACCCAAAAAGGCCCTGTATCGAGCAACATTCGTGAGACTCCTAGGGAGAAGTCAATAGGAGGAGGAAGTTGGGGAAACTTCAAAAGACTAAATGAGAGGGAGATGCAGGAGAAGAGGGCGAAGGGACTATGCTTCCGATGTGATGAGAAGTATACACCAGGGCACAGATGTAGGGACTGAACTCTTTAGGTTCTCACCGTTTGTGATGACGAAGAAATTGAGAAGGGAGGTGATAGAGGTAGAGAAAGGTGGAGCACAAGCTATATCTGAATGTGGCAGAGGTCTCCCTGAACTCAGTGATAGGATTCACTCCAAATCATACCATGAAAGTGAAGGGCAAATAGCAGGCAGGAAGGTATTGGTATTGATTGACAATAAGGCTGCCCACAATTTCATCTCCAACCAAGTCATGGACCAATTTGGGGTGACAATGGTGGATACAAGGTATTATGGAGTGATGATGGGTATAGGGAAGGTGGAGACGAGTCAGGGGATATGTAGGGGAGTAATGTTGACCATATAGGAGTTTCAGATGAGGGAGAATTTTCTCTCATTGGAGTTAGGGAGCACTAATGTCATCCTAGGGATGAAGTGGCTATAGACCTTGGAGGACACCAAGGTTAACTGGGGAGCATTGATGATGGAGTCAATGGTGGAAGGGAGAAAGGTATTGATCAAGGGAGATGCAGGGCTAACCAAAGCCACGATATCACTTAAAACTATGGTGAGGAGCATAGAGGAAATGGGGGATGGTTATCTAGTGTAACTTCATAGGCTAGAGGGGATAGATTAGAAGAGTGTGTAGACATTCCTCTTTCAATACAATTATTGATTCAGTAGTTCAGCAAGGTTTTTCAGCTGCCTCAGGGATTTCCACTGCCAAGGGAGCAAGAGCATGTTATCACCTTGAGGGAATGTGTGTCACCAATCAGTGTCAGGCCCTACCGCTATCTTTAATTTTATAAGAATGAAATTGAGAAATTGATCAGTAAGATGCTGAAAGCAGGGATTATCATGCTCGGTGTGAGCCATTTTTTTAGTCCAGTGTTACTGGTTAAGAAAAAATATGGGAGTTGGAGGTTCTGTGTGGACTACAGGGCGGTAAATAAAGAGACTGTGCCAGACAAGTTTCTTATTCTAGTGATAGATAAGTTGTTGGATGAGCTGAGTGGGGCAGTTATCTTCTCTAGGATAGACCTAAAGTCAGGATATCATCATATCAGAATGAAGGGATGATTTTTTTTTTTTTAGAATGAAGGGATTATGTGCTGAAGAGTGCTTTTAGAATTCATGAAGGGCATTATGAGTTCCTAGAGATGCTTTTTGGCCTCACTAATGCCCCAGTCACTCTCCAATAAAAATATTTCGTAATGTATGATTATTAATGAATATTATATAATTTTATAATTTGTTCAAGAAATCGAATCATAATCAAATCTTAGTTGGAGATTATATTGTATGATCCAAGCCGTATAATCCATTTAAACAGAGATTTCACTAGAAAAAAACCTGGTTTGTCCTAGATCATCCCTGATTCGATATAATTGATCGTATTGTACAACCAATTATCGTATAGTCCAATCTGTAATGAGAGTATACTAAGCAGACAATACTAACCTGGTATCGTACTATAAGATCAAAGCATTAAAATTGAAAATTAGGATTTCAATTAAATAGTCCAACTTAATTCATTTTAATAAGAATTTTTTTTAGCGTCTCAACATGAATTTCTATGAGAAAACTCTTGGGGAGAAATTATATCTCTCATTTGGAAATGTTCTTGAACAAACCTTTAGGAGTGAAGATGAGTTTTAGAGAATCCTTGAGGATGTTCAAGAATTATGTGAGGGGATTTACATGGGAGTCTTGTCAACATGCACGTGTCCTCCAGAGTCTTGTGTCAAGTGTTTTTAAAAGAGTCTCTATAGGTGTCTTGGGAGAAGACATGATAATAGCTAGGAAAAGCTAGGGGAGCATCATCTCTATCATTGCAAGGAGTAGGAGCGAAGGGCATCTCCGCCATTACAAATAGCAGAAGGATAGAGCATTATCTCTGCCCTTGAGAGGAGCAGAAGGAGTTGTATCTCTATCATGTCGGGAGGCTGAAGGAGGGAAACTTTTCAAGGATAAAAGAGTTTGTAAATGTTATTTTCCACCTGGTAAAGGAGAAGGGCTTCTTCATTTGGCAGAGTGCTAAAAGAGTTTTCGACATAGTGAAATTCCCAAGAAAGAGGACCTTGGTGGGTGGACATAAATCTGATGATTGAACCCCTATTAAAATTGCCAAGTTGCATTGTTTATTTTTTCCTACAACTTTCCTTTCCTGTATTTTGGTTTATATTACATACCTTTGCTAGAACTGTGTTTGTTAAATCTTTGATTAAGCATTTGCATAAAGTTTTATAAACAAAATTAAGTTATATAAATTTTAAAAGAAAAAAAAAGTTTATGCTTTAAATTTTTTGTTCTCCTAGCTTCCGCACAATACTTTATTTAAAAAAAATATTAAATATCAATTCACTCCCCTCTTGGTATGCCATAGCACTCTCACAAGATGATTAAAAAAGTAGAGGATTAAATACTTCATGTGGAAAGAACAGGTCCTATACATATAAAATTAATCCTAACACAACTTACTTGGAAGAATATGCTATCAGTTGATGCACTGAATATTTTTTCTCAGAACCTTCTTTGAAAGATATTTGAGGAAGTGTAGAACATATCTTCAACACCAGGTAAAAGTTTCCTTCCGGCAACAAATGCAAATCAACAAATGAATCCCAAGGAACTCACATAAATCTTTTCTAGAGACATGATATTCCAAGATTAAATCCAAATCCCATTACTTTTATAGAGCCTTTCTACTGGATAATATGTCTTGGAAATCCTTCAATTCCTCAATCGAGTATGGTGGATGCTTATTGCTAACCAATTTGAAGATTTCCCTAGCACTCCTTTTCTTTGAAATTTTCATGAGGCCTTTTAACAGGTTATCAATAGTATCAACATTTGGAAACCAATTCTTTTGCATGCTATCCTTGCAAAGCCTAAAAGCCACATCAAACTCCCCTGCTTTACAAAAATAATGAACCATCGTCTGGTAAATCTTTTCATTTGGCTTGCATCCCCTTCCATGCATAGCCCAAAAGATCCTCTTTGCCATTTCAAGTTCACCCATCATGCAAAATCCTTTGATAATAAGATTATAGGTCAGCTCATCAGGTCTGATACCGGTAGCATTCATCTTTTGAGCTAAATCATTCGCTTGCCATCCTCTCCTCCTATTAATCAGAAACTGTATTCTTACATTGAAAGTTGCCAAATTGGGTGAGCAACCTTTGAGTACCATTAGGTTCCACAAACCATCACCAACCTCACGACGACCATGTTTATAGAAGGCAGACATGAGTGTAGTGTACGTCACCACATCTGGCCTGATCCCAGCTTTTTCCATATCCACCATGACTAAATAGGCAGAATCCAAGCTACGCATTTCACACAAAACCTTAACAATGGTATTATATGAAACGCCATCTAATTCAATCCCAAACTTAGCCAGGGCCTCACTGAAAAGCATTTTAGCCTCCTCAAATCTCCTGTTTTGTGATAAAACATTCAGCATGGCATTGAAAGACTTGACAGTCCGTGGACATCCAAAGAGATGCATATCTTCAAAGGTTCTAAGGGCATGATCAGTCATTCTGGCTCTTCCATATAACATAATGATTCTAACAACAAAACCCTCACGCCTGCCCTGTGGAAGTGTTTTTTGATGCTCAAGAAGCTTCACAACGAGATCAAACCTGCGGGCTCCAGTAAGTCGGGATACTGTATCCTCAAAGGCAAAGCGGTTTTCCACTACAAGACGGTTCTCAGCATTTGCATTGAAGAGCTGAAACAGCTTCTCTGGATCCCTCTCTGTCTTGATTTGCACAAGCGCGGGTTCACTGAGGGGAACCGAATCCTGAGAGCTACTAGAGGAGGCAGATGGATCCTTTTCAGCTTCTTGCCTTGCCTGTTTCTTCAAAACGGAAGCCTTGCACGCAGCAATGGTGGGAAAGCTGTCGGGATGCTGATTCGACGCGTGGGCGGAAATGGCAATATCGGTTTTGGTTCTCGTCTTTGAGATGCTGGCGGCGATGCAAGTTGCAGCAAAGGCATCAATCGCAGCACAAAGTCTGCGTAGATTAGCCAGAGAGAACATTATCTCATCCGCTTGTGCATGGAAGCCTATTCATTGCGGCAAAATGTCGAACACTCAAACTGCAAGAAGTGAAAAATAGATATGGCCCAAGGCGAGGCTATTCCGGAATCGGTGAAGCTCTGGCAAAGATGAAAACAAATACAGAATGGGGATTTTTGCCAGAGAAGTTGAGTGAAAATAGCTCATAACGTACCTATGCGAGAGTAAATAAGAGGAAAATTCAAAGAAAGTTATTAAATTGGAGATGAAAAAGCTCGCGTTCTATTCTTCTGTGGCTGAAGATTATACACGGGATAAATGTGACGATCAAATTTTTAGAAAAAAAATCGTAAATTGGTAGAGAAGTGTGATGAATTTGGCAGAAGATGACAGAGTAAGGAGGCAAAGGCGACGGGGCTTGCGAGAAGCACAGCTTCACATCATGGGACGGCGTGGAGCCAACAGCGCCACAACCAAAACAAGTTACAGGCAGAAATAACCCTTTGATCAAACCCATCAATTCAACAAAATATTGCCCTTCAATAAAAGTGCTGTTGATACACAACTCTTGTTGGCCTATTGGTTGAGAGCTTAGGCTTCCAACTAAGAGGTTCAAAGTTCGAGTCCATGTATATGCGTTGTGTGTGTGAGTTTGCCTTAAATGGCCTAAATGTCTCAAAAAAAAAGTGTTATTGATCCCTTTTAGTCCCAGAAATTATTTGGTGTGGAGTCTCAATGTAGCTCTATATTCGGTCGCTAATAAAATAATGTCCATGATGGCCTGATGGCTTGATGACCCAATGATTCAACGTGATGAAAATTTATTTTTTGTTGCGTCTTTTCCAACTTACCGTGCGGCCCGACAACCCGACCCTGTCCAGACGTGAAAAGTTACTTTTTACTGAAAAAGAAATCCTTGGCCATTCAATGGAAAATTAGAAATTGACCGAGAAGTTTCAGTTTCCCTTGTTTCATGTGCTTTTCATCTTTGTCTGAATCTCCTTTTGTTTGCTTCAGATTTTCGTTGTAGAAGTCATGGCTAAGGTCATTTTTATGCTAGGAAAGAAGTGCTTGCTCTGTAAATGGCAGGTTGGGGTTAGGGTTTCGGGTTTCGGGCATTTGCATGTTGTTGTAGATCGTTTTCTCACTAATACGTATAACAAAATGTATGTGTGGAAATAGATTTTGTGTAATCTATACTATTGTGTACTGTTGTGTACCTATGTCTATGATTTTATATCGCTTGATGAAGTTAATAGAACATTTTAGGTCATATTTTTGTACATTTTATATACTTGCTAAGTCTTGTGTATCGTTTCTGTGAACCATTGTGTACTGATGTCTACTTTTCACTATTCAAATGAAGAATTTACTCGAACATGTCAGTGATTTTTTTTTTTTATGCATGTTAGTTTTGTATACCTTTGTGTATACTTATGTGTACTTTTTTATGTGTACCACTGTTTATCACTATTGTGTACTGCTGTGTACAATTTTTGTATAATGATGTGTATTGTTATGTTCATAACCACTACACTTAATTTTGCAGGGATAGCATTAAGTTTTTAACCACTACACTTAATTTTGTAGGGCTATGCTCCAAAGATATCTTTCCGTTGCAGAACATCGACATTTCAAGAAATTTGCAATCATTTGGTTGATACATTCTACCAAAAAATTGTAGATAGACTGCTAAAACTGCACTTACATCACTTTATATTGATGCCTCACTTATGTTAGAATGTTCAACTAGTCTACATGTTGTTCTCTATGTGGGATATTCGGAAGCAGTGTTTCATCATCAAGGAGCATAAGTTATCATTCACTGCAAATGAAGTTGCTCTGATCCTTGGATTGCCCAAAAGAGGAATTGAGTTTGACTTGGGAAATGCCAGAATTATTGAGAAATCCACAAATGATATTAAACATGAGATGTTCAATCAAGATGAATAAACTCCACTTCCCAAGCTTGTGAAGAAATTTATCATTTTCTTATTTTCTAACATTTTCTTCCCTCTGTGTAACTACCAAACACCTGCTAGGATCCTTAGTGTAGCTCATCATGCAGATCAATTTTTATCTAACAACTGGCCAGCATCAATTATGAATTTCCTAGTAGCTGAGTTCGATGCAATTGCCAGGAAATATTCTAAATGCAAACCTTTGGGATACATGAATGGCTTTGTACATATTGTAATTATGAGTGCATCTAATATTTTAGAACCTCCGTCCATCCTAGGAATTAATTTTATTGGCAAACAAACTCTTTGCATGCAGATTTTGTTTCTATAACATATAACAATACACACACTAGTAGATAATAACTCAAGACCTCATTTTCTTCACTTGAACATTGAGATTATGTATAGTGAAGTAGAGGTTTCAGATTTATTTTATGAACTTTAGGATCTACAGGTACTCATGCTTATTATCTACACTTCATCTTAATATAGGGAAGTTTAGTTTTGCCTTGCCCTTTTCCCAATTAAACTTTAGTTTTGCCTTGCCCTTTTCGTTTGTAGGAAGAATTCTTACATTAGGGCACGTATTCTTCATATGTCCAGGTTTTCTACA